AAAAAAAAAAAAAACCATTGGTGTTTTCATTTTATGACAATATAATCATAAAATATTTGTTGCTATTGGTCAAAATCAGGATATGAACCAATAATCAAAGATCTATATTCTTTATGCTTGAGAAGTGTCTCAAATGTTAGTTTCTGAACGTAGAAGAAAATTTTTGTGCAAGGAGTGAGAAGTAAGCATATCCACCTTACTAATTTTCAAAAGGGGAGAATATTGCTTTGTGTCTATTTCATCACAAAAGATGTTAAAACAGGAAAAACAGGAAAAATGAAGGGACACTGAGCCTTTTCATCAATGTTTGCACCTATCCTTGCTTCCACCCATAGAAATTACAAAGAAAAGAATCTTTTTTTTTGGAATTTCTTTGAGTTATATATCTGTTATGTTATGCTTGTGCTAGAAGTATTCACAATAAAAGTTTAAGAATGAGTTTTTCCCTATTGGTAAAGAAATTAGAGGGTTAGTACATGTGACCTACCATGGCATCATTCAAAACAGGAAAACATTGTTTTCCAAGTGGAAACTTCTGTAGTCATTTTTCTTTGACATTTCCTGGAATTCTTGATTGTCTTGGCTCTCTGATACTCAAGCACAGCTTATCATCTGACGTAAATGTGAGACAAATAAATAATGTTTGCAAACTTAATTTGCCTTTGACAGCATGTATTTATACAGGTTAGAAAGGGTGTATCCAGCATATGCTAATTGTAATTCCTGAGCTGACAACAAAACTATTGCTGTTTGAGATAAGACTATATCAACTTTTCCCATTGTTTCCTTTATGTATTTTTCTTTTATTACAATTAGAAAGAAGCAACTTTTCCCATTGTCCTGCAAATTTAGGCCATCTTATAAAAATATAGGTATTTTACCCTTCCAGTAATTGCATTTGTTTTAAGCAAAAGTAGAAATTATTATTATTATTTTGTTTATTTATTTATTTATTTATTTAGACAGACTCTCACTGTGTTGCCCTTGGTAGAGTGCCATAGCGTTACAGCTCACAGCAACCTAAAACTCTTTGGGCTTAAGCTATTCTCTTGCCTCAGCCTCCCAAGTAGCTGGGACTACAGGCACCCACCACAATGCCCGCCTATTTTTTTGTTGCAGTTGTCATTGTTGTTTAGCTGGCCTGGGTCAGGTTCAAACCCACCAGCCCCGGTATATGTGGCCGGTGCCCTAATCACTTAGCTACAGATGTCAAGCCTAGAAATTAGTTTTTAAAATTCATTCAGTAAGTATTGTATTGAGTGCCTCCAGATGTCCAGGCCAGTTAAAATAGAGTATAATTTTTCTTTTCTGGCACAAATGGAATAGAGATGACTAAAAATGGAGGTGGCTCCAGACAAACAAAGTGTGAGATAGTACATTTGTGGCTACCACAATCAAAATGAGCCCTGGTTGCCGGCTCACCAGGGTTTAATGATGCTTGTTCACTCGCTTCCATCAGTTTATCACAACTGAAATATTTGCAGTGTCAGTTTGCTGATAGCCCAGCTCTCTGCCCCTTGCGGAGTGACTCCCATCTGATCTGATCAGTTAGCCTTACTCCATAGAAAAACACAGACTCCCCTGGAATGCATCCATGTAATAGATGAATGTTTAACAATAGCCACTGAGATTCGATTTTGTCTAAGGCAAAGACATGAGCATTTCTGGGGGAGGAAATCTCAAAACCAGTAAAAAGTTGTAGTTCAGTGGAGAAGATATTTTTGGGAGCCAGGGAGGTGAGGCCTTTGCCCTCTTTACATTACTCAGGAGGCTGCATGAAAAGCTCTTCCTCTGGAAGTATAGATGTGACAGAGTTCTGCCTAGGGAAAAAAGGTACTTTCTTTATGTTTGATCCCCAGGTTTTCAGTACAAAAGGATAATGTTGGTAAGATGTTTATGGTGCTCCCTGCTGTGTACAAAGCACTGTAAGGATATTTCATATAGTCTAACCCCAAACTCTTCCAGGAATATTATTAGGTGCTTGGGAAACATGAGCTGTATGGATAACTCCAAAGCAAGGCAGTATGTGGTTAAGTATGATGTGAGCGATCAAAGGTCTATGGAAATTCAGAGCAAGGGGACTTTCAGCTCTGGTCATCAGGGATGTTTCGTGGACAGGTGGTATTTGAGCTAGACAAGTAAAGATGGACACAGGGTTTCAATAATAGGAGTGACAGGTGGAGGGTACTATAGGAAAGGAAAAAGTCTAGGACCACGAGTAGCCTTTGGGGTCTGGGCAGAGGCCTTCCTGAACATTTCCCTCCCTAGAGAACTATTCTGTGGTCATTCTGGTCATGGCAGAAGAGGGAGACTGTAAGGTGGAAATATGGTTTGGGCTCTTGGCTGTAGTCATGGATTGCCCTGAAGGACTGGTGGAGAAGTTTGGACTTTATCTTGTAGACCATGGGGAACCACTGAAGATTTTTTTTTTTTTTTTTTTTTTTTGAGCAGGGAGTGCAAGGATCAAAGCAAATTAAATAAAAGAAATTTAAATTAGGATTAGCAGGATTTGAAGACCTCAAACAAGCCAGCTGTGGACTAGATCCAGTTCATAGATGTGTCTTACTTGACCTGCAGTGAGGTTTAAAATATTGCCAACATTGAAGAATGAGATTAAATATAAAATTTCAAGTTTCCTTCATCTCTTTAAAGATGAAAAGTTCTAACAACACAAAGCCTTTTCCACACATGACCACAGTGACCCACTATAGCTTCTCCCTTTGTTCTTATGTCTTTTACCCATTGAACGTTCCCCTCCCATTGGCATTTAATTGACAATCAACCCTAGAGTCTGTTGACTTGTGCTTGAGCAAGTCACTTAATTTCTCTGGGCCTTGGTTTCCTTATGGTACAATACTAGAGGACCTCCAGGCTCTCAGGCTATGTGATTGCATAGAAAAGGGCCAAGCCAGCAAGGTTACGGAGGGAATGGACAGCAGAAGAAATACTGTGAAGGAGGGTTTTTGTTGGGAGTTCTTTAAGTTTATGCCTATTGTTAAATATCCAAATTCACAAGGACGTTGTGAGAAAGGTTTGTTCTGCATAGGGTGAGATGAAACTTCAGAATTTTTTATGCCCTTTATTTGAACTTTTGGTTTTCAATGGCTTAAATTTTTAATGTCAACATATTTAAAGGAAAATTGATACAACTTGGCAGGGAAGAAGCAAAGTGAAGAGACTGACATTCGTTATGCATTTACTACGTGACACTTTATAGCTATTATCTCATTTAAAACCCCACCAACCTCATCAGGTACGCATTATTCTCACTGTTCATATAAGGAAACTTGTGTTAAATAACTGCCCCAAGATCTTATAGCAAGTGAATATAACTGCAAAACTATTTTTATGCCATGCCTGAAGGCCTTTGCTAGCAAGAAACTAAGGCTTGTAAACAGCATGGTGGTAAGAATAAATGTGAGGAGAGGGTGCATATGGCTTCTCTCCCCATACTGAAGAAAAGTCATGTTGAGTTTTATATTGCTCCTTTATTGATTTTGCTCTGCTACCATCTATCTCTTTTCTGCTGGTAGCTGCATGTAACTATCTCTTAAAGAACAAAAAGTGCCAAAACTTGCAAATAATCAAAGAGCTGGAGAGAGGTTGTTGGTCCTTTCCATTTCCTTCCTAAGAAAAATCCTTTTCTGTTTTGTTTTATGCACATGTATTGATTTTTTCCCCCTTTCTTATGAATCCATTGTGGCAATTTTCCTTTACCAGATTTTCTAGGAGAGGCAGCAGAAAGAAGGAAGGACAAAGAAACAGGTGACTTCAAAGCAGCTGTATCAAAGCTCTTTAAAGGAATAAATAAGTCCTCTAGTTCTTGTTAGAAGAATAGTTTTAATGCTTTTGTGAGGATGGCAGACCAGGTGTTTGCCTTTCAGTTTACCTGATACCCTCTTTATGGCTCGAC